TCGTAGGATATATCTTCATGCTCAAAATGGTTTTCGTATATCTATATATATCTCTATATGTATTGTATTTCAACGCGTTGGAGTGGGTTACCAGCATCTCTCGCTGAACATATATATTTGGCTTTCAGGCACAGAGGACTAGAGCACTGGAGCGCGCTAGAACTGGAGCGTAGAAGTAGAGTTGTTTCCCTTTCGGCCTGCGTGTCATATTATGCATTGTGTTTCAATGGATATTAGTTAGACAGCCTGTGCACCTGGGTTCTCTAGCCCAGGTGTGGCATAGCACCCCGTACACTTATGATATACTTTGGGATGTAATGAGATATTACCTTTATTATATAAGTTTAAAATGTCTTGAAAATCTAGGGTGTTACAAAAGCCCCTCAGAACCCGCACCCCGGAATGGAGCAGCGCCGACTACACCGTGATTGGAGGTAAAGCTCTCGAACCCGACCAATTCTCTCCGGAGTTGGTCGACATGCTTAACTTCCAAGGGCTCTTGGATACGTATCTCACCATAAAGGGGGATACATACCCCGAATTGGTGAAAGAGTTCTATCATCACTTGGTGGCTGTCAAGCGAGGTGATAAATTGGAAATCACCGCCAAGGTCCGAGGCAATGAAATCATACTTTCCGAAGGCCGCTTGGCCAAACTCTTAAAATTGACCACCACGGGTGTGTCAGACTACGACCGAAAGGGGTGGATCGGCACCCAAGACCTGGGGTACAAGGACTACCTCGGGTACCTACTCGGAAAGGAGGAAGGGTTCACCTCGTCCACACGACCAAATAGGAAGTGGCTAACGGCGGAGCAAAAAATATTGGTTATGATTGTGACTGACAGCCTCTTGCCCACAAATAATAAAAGCAAGGACGTGGGGAGTTTAGAGTGCACTTTCGCCTATCTCTTGAAACACAAAATCAAGTTCAACCTATCGGCCCTCATGTTGAAATACATGGAATTTTGCAAAACTAGCAACCGGCTTAGCCTACCCTACGGGATGATCCTAAGTTGGATCATGGAGAAAAAGGGGGTGGATCTGAGCCACACTGAGATCAAGACCGCAAAAGGTATGGTTTTTAATGCCTAGAACCTCCGTCGCAATGATATCTACTACACCGAAGGGGGACAGTACATCACCCTCGAAGAGATTTGCTTGAAACCCGATGAGGAGCGAAGAGAATTGGTTGACCGATTGGACATCTCCAACAAAAAGCTAAAATGAGCAATGCAAGATTGTGGGGGACTAGAGGGAAGTGAGGAACAGGAAGAGGATAGCGAGCCTAACCCACCGCACCCGCACGAACAGGAGGAAACCCAAGGGGACAAAATGAAGAATCTGTCAATGAGCGCATCCTAGCACAACTCACTCGGCAAAACCAAATCATGGACGAAGGGTTCTCGTCCTTAATCCACGCGACACGCGCTTTAGATCAGAGGGTGGCAGCAATCGAGACCATCCTGGGTACTCGCGGGGCATCCAGTTCCGGAGCAGGGAACGAAGGTAGACCCGAACTTTCCAATCACCACGTCACCAGAAATCTAGTCTACCCCAGCAAGGACAACACGTGGGGCCATGTTCCTAACCAGGAGGCCAAAATACAGAGTGTCCAGGGGTGAAAGAATGGATTAACACACAGGCTTCGGGGACGAAGCCTCTTGTAGGGGGGGGGGGGGGGAGAGTGTAACACCCCGTGTTACGACCCCTAAAACCAATTAATCATTTAATCAATTACCCAAAAGAAAGCACTAAATTCTAATAATTAATTAAGAAAAAGGCCCACCATAGTCCATAGGCCCTTATCCCTAAACCCAATCCCCTAGTTCTAGAAGGAATAGAACTAACCCTAATTAGGGACTCTTAGGTATATAAATAGGGGGCATAGGAGGCACCTAGAACCCACACCACAATAATCCCTCACCACACAAGGAGTTCCAAGAATCCCCCTAGGAGAAATCAAGAAAGAAGAAATCTTAAGAAAAGAGCCTTCATAGCCAAGGAAATTAATTAAGGCTAAGAGGTAACCCATGTCTCAACAAAACCTGTTTTCATTGCTATAATTATCTTCTTTGGCATCCTCTCTATACTTGTGTCTTGATGAATCGTTTATGATATTGATGATATGATCTTGATGATTGTGAGATGATTTTATGTGTGATCTTGATGATCTTGATGATGATAAAAGGTTCTTGATGATTATGTGATGTTCTTGATGAATCTTGATGTTTAGATGATTAAAATATGAACTATGGTTTTATTGATTTGAATATGATTAGAACCCTAGGTTAAAATTGGGAATTTCGTATTGTGTTATTCTTGATGTAATTGGGTGGAATTTCGCATGTTCGGGTGTTGATTATGTTTAGAAGTCATGACAGGATATGTGCTATATGATTCTTGCTTTTGATCCGTTAATTGTCTACATGGTGTCACAAATTGCGTTTAAAAGTATCTAAGCATGGTTTCGGGTTCCACAACGGATCCCGGGACGTTTATTTTGATAAAGAGTCAGTGGGGGGTAGGTGGGGGTAGGGGGACCCACCACCTACCCGCTGCCCGAGAAAGACGTCGCCGGCAGCGGGCAGCCGGCGGGCAGGCGACTGCCCGCCGGGTACCCGCTGCTCGGAGACCTGACGCCGGCGGGCAGCCGGTGGGTGGTGGACCACCCACCGGCTACCCGCTGGAAATTATCCCAACTCGGGACTCCGGCTTCCCCGTTTGATGTTTCCCCGACCCCCGTGGTGTCCTAACGGACCCCGTTTATCGTGCCTAAAGTCTAGTTTGATGTTTCGGGTACCATTCGTAGGATAAACGAGTCTTATATATGTATGTATATTGCATGCTAGTGGAATTGGTATCCCGTTGGCCTAGGTGAAAGAAGTATGAACCCCTTAGGATTATTCCTTGTATGTGGATGACCACGCATAGGTTTCGTTATACGTTTTCTCCCCTTTTTCCCAATGTGTTGATGTGGGTTGCATGTGCTTGCTATGTGTTATGTGTGCATGATACCCCAATCGGGTTGTTACATAACCCTTCTCCGAGCTTAGGCTTTGACAACACTATCGGGGACATCAGATATTCCTTCAACTCGTCGAAAGCCGCTCGGCACTTGTCGTCCCAGACGAACCCGTTAACTTTGCGCAATACCTTGAAGAATGGTAAGGCGCGCTCGGCTAGCTTGGAGAGGAAACAACTCAGGGCTGCCAACCGGTCGGTCAATTGTTGCACCTCCCGAACGGTCGTGGGTGGTTGCATATATCAAGAATAGCCTTGACCTTGGCGGGGATGGGCTCGATTCCTCTTTTGGTCATCATGTAGCCAAGGAACTTTCCTGTTTGAACCGCAAATGTGCACTTGTTGGGGTTCAATCGTAGCTAGTACCTCCTCATGATCTGAAAGCATTCCCGGAGGTCCCGAGTGTGGTCGGCTCTATCCCGACTCTTGACCAGCATGTCATCGATGTAAGCTTCCATCGTTCGGCCTAAAAGATCCGCAAAGAGCATATTGAGCATCCTCTGATAAGTTGCTCCAGCATTGCGAAGGCCGAACGACATCACTCGGTAGCAATACAACCCATCCGGGGTGACGAAGGCTGTCTTGCTTTCATCCTCATGGTGCATCATAATCTGGTGATAGCCTTTGAATGCATCCATGAAACTCATGAGCTCGGCCCCGGCCGTCTCATCGACCATCTGATGGATACTCGGGAGTACGGGTCGAGTGGGCATGCTTTATTGAGGTCGGTGAAATCGATGCACATCCTCGATGTTGGAGGCTTAGGAACAAGAACAATGTTAGGCACCCATTCGGGATAGATAACCGGTCGGATGTGCTCGATCGCCGCCATCTTTTTCACTTCCTCCCTAACAAACTCTCGGCGGTCGGAGGATAAATGCCGAGTCTTCTGAACGACTGGCTTTGCCGCGGGATCCACTGATAGCTTGTGGCAAATCACGGTACGATCGATCCCGGGCATGTCTTCTGGCCCCCACGCAAAGATATCGGCAAATTCTCGGAGGATTGCCAGTATTTCCAATCGCAGCTCGGGGGTGAGGGCCCGACCCATCTTGATTTTCCTGTCCGGTCGTTCCTCGGACAAGGGAACCTCTTCAATCTCCTCGGAGGGCTCGGGTTGCTCCTTCCGATCACTGGTGGCCTCCTTCACAATGGTATTCACCCGGGAAGATTCAGCATCGCGCCTATTGACAGCCCGGTTATAACATTTCCTCGCGGTCTGGACATCACCGCGTACAACTCCAACCCCGTTCGGGGTGGGGAACTTCATGTATAAATGCGGCATGGAAATGATTCCGCCGACCTTCATGATGGCCGGTCGGCCCAAGATAACAGTGTGGACACAATGCAGATTGACCACAACGAACTCCATCTCGGTCTTCACAAATTTGGGCGGGGTGCTGATCTCGACCGGGAGCATAATTTTTCCTTCGAGGCGAATGAGAGCCCCGGTAAATCCCGACAAGGGTACGCCAACCAGAATCAGCTCGCGCTTGTCCAACTTTAGCTTCTCAAATACGTTCAAATAAAGGACGTTAACACTACTCCCGGTATCCACCATGACTCTCTGGACATCGGTCCCCATAATATCAATTGTGACCATGAGGGCTTCCATCCCGTGGTCTCCACTATCCGGTTGGTCCTCCAAAGAGAAGGTGATAGGCTCCATCTTCTGCCTTTTCCCGGTTTCACAGGAATCTACGATCGCGACCGGGCAGCTCTCCCGGGGTCGGGATGCATCTTCCAAACCACCAAAGATCACATGAATGGTCGATTTGGACGCCGGTCGACTGCTGGATGGAGGGTCGGGGTCTCTGCGATCTTGACCCGACCGATCTGATCGATCCGAGCGATGGTGGGAACGCCTATGGTCTCTTCGATCAGCAACTTTCTTGCTCTCCTCTCTTTTACCCACACATTTGTCCAGCTTCCCCAGATTAAGCAGGTCTTCCAGGAATTGCCTCAAATGTGTGCATTCCTACGTATCATGCCCGGCGCAACGGTGATAAGCGCAATGTTTGGACTTATCTGGCCCGTCCTGTCTGGGGTGGGGTAGACGAATCAGATTGCAGGACTGGGCGTACTGCATGGCCTCCACCGCCGATCGGTTTAGCGCCGTAAACTCCCCTGGCCGGATACGGGGTCGGGGATGATCATCACCCGATCGATGTTCCGCCCGACCGGAAGGCTTCCGGGATGAAGTCCCGACCTCCTGCGATCTCTTGACGGCGTTCGCCTCACCGGCATTGGCATAATCCGTCACTCGACGAAGAGTTTCCTCATAAGTGGTCGGCGGGTGAAGGATGAAATCCTGATACAAATAACCGGCACGAAGGGAGATGTGGAGCATGTGGATGGCGGTAAGATCGTCCATCGGCTCAACCTCCCCGACCGCCGCTTTCCACTTGACCAAAAACTCGGACAAGATCTCCCCCTCTAACTGCTTGGCCTTTTCCAGGTACATATAGGGCTTCCTGATGATCCTGGAGGTCACAAACTTCCGGTTGAATTTCATTGCCAGGGTGGCAAAGTCAGCGATGGAACCCGGTTGAAGTGACCTAAACCATTCCGTCGCCCGACCGGTGAGCGTGGAATAGAAAGCCCTACACATTACAGCGTCAGACACGCCCATCATCAACATGTTGCCGTAGTAGGTGTTGACGTGAACCTCAGGGTCTGTACGCCCATCATACTCTTTGTTGCCGGGGACTTGCAAGTCGAGCGGGTAAGGCTGGGCCATTATCTCCGCCGTGAAGGGTGTCCTCAATAAAGAGGCTGATTGATCGACCGGAGGCCTCGCAGCGTGCTCGTTTGCCAATGAGTGAATTCCGCTCGGAGGTCATTGAGCATTCCTCGGGTCTCATCATGCTCGACCGTCTGGGCTGGTTCCCGAGCCCGTCGTCTTCGATGTGACTTGGACCCACTATGCCCTGATGACCCCTCCTGACTGGCTGCTCACATCGGCGAATCTACCGAGCGCCTGCTCGGGTCATGCGGTCCCAATCTTTGCCACATTGCTGGATGGAGCCGCTTAAATGCCACCACCCGGTTGGCTTCCAACTCCGGGTCTTCCGCCCGAGCTTGCATCTCCGGTTGCACCTGAGAAGCCTGCCGTGGTTCCTCCATGGCCTCGGCACCCTGCGACCCCAACCTCGAACGAGCCGAGCGCCTAGCCCGGGGGGCGGGCTGAAGCTCCGGCTCGGTCGACATGGTCGGGTAAATCGGAGGAGCGGAGGCGGGTGCCGTGTGCACATGCATGTATTGTGGGTAACCGGTCGGTGGTGCATAATACATTGGTGTGCCGGGCCAATACCCATACTGTGAAGGAGGGACCGAGTATGGATATTGCCCAGGGAACGGGTACTGCGGGCCGGGAGGTGGATACCCCGGTTGGATGTAATTGACCGGTTGCTGGGCGACCGGGTTCTGGGTCACCGGATGAGGTGGTGATAGGTTGAGGTTTAAATCGACGGTCTGACCCTGGTACTGAGTGCGTTGATGGTCAGACGAACTGGCTGCATCAGCTTGCTCATCCTTGGCCATTTGGTACATATAAGGATACATAGTAATCGATGGAACCGGTACTCGTCAAACGTAACTTTCATACTCGGGTCCCCACAAACGGCGCAAAAATGATAGTATAAATTCCACGTAATGCGGTCATGATACTAATAAGACCAAGCAAAAGCAAATAAAGACTTTTATTTATCAAAGAAGGACCTAATACAATCTAAATGACTATCCCGAGGGCCGACTGACTGCTGTCGGGCAGCTCTGTAGATAGTCTATTGATCGTTCCAAAAGTCCCTCACACTGTAGCCGCCGCGGGTATTTATAGCCGCTAGGCCGGAGACACAATTCCGGCCGGCCGGCATGTAACCCACGTAGCACCCACGTGTCTTCAACCAGCGGGCCCTGCCTGTCAACGTGTAACGTTGACACGTACTTCTTCTCGGATCTCTTGTTCGAGGGCTATCGGTCGGGTGTTGAAGACTTCGGTCGGGAGATGTGCAAGTCGGGTCCGACCGGCTTCCTTCAGGAATATCCGACCTGTAAACCTCCACGAACAATAAGAAAACACGTGGCATGTCGGTCGGGATATATCCTACCAAATATATACTGTAAATTAGGTGTACCGTATCATCAATGTCAAATGCGTAATTCTAATTAATTGACCAAAGTTCATGTTATATTTTCTATTGTATTTTTTAATACACTCTAACATATTCGTAGTATATGTTTAACAATTATATCAGTTTTGATTGGGATGAGATTCGAACATAAGACTTCCCTTATGAAAATAAATGAGTAACATAAGAATAATAAATAGTTAACGAAAAATTCCATTACTGAAGTTTACATAGATGGATTGCAGAGGGTAAGTAGGAAAAATAATTAAAAAATAATAAAATGAAAAAATAATGTGAACAATTACTTTCAAAAAACATTTATACCAACGTTTTTTAGTTCCCGTTACGGCCTAACTTTATTGGCTCTTAGCTACATAAGAATAACTAATAACAAGTTAACATGGTTAGGTTGGTCTAAGGCGCTAGATTAAGGTTTTGGTCCGAAAGGGCGTGGATTCAAATCCCACTCTCAACAATAAAATGTTATTATTTTCAGCCTTTTAATATAACTAGAATATGATATGATTTTTAAAACCTTTTTTTCCCATATAACTTATCTTAATAGAATTTTCACCCTTAATTTAAAATGTAATACATTTTGCCCTAATATTAATATATATTATAATTTTCCTGCACTTTTATTTTTTAAAATTAAAAATGTAATCTATAATATAATTTTTCCCTAAAATTTGTGTTCATTAATAATAAATCAATATACTACAAATTAAATTTCATTCATCTACTCTATTAATAAGAACTAGTTACCACACGCGCATTGTGAGAATTGTCGAATGCCCAATGGGTATTTTTAAATTAGTGTTTCAGAATTTATTAAAATATCATTCGGTATCCTTGTGTATATCAACGTAAGATTATCAAATTTTTCATAAAAGTAAATATTTCAATAATGCATAACTATGATGCATAATTTTTCATAAAATTAACTGGTGCAATAGCAGTTTTAGAGGAAAAGACCCTCACTCGATAGTACAGAAGCATAATTTTTGCAACACAAAACCCTATTAATTGGCGTGATCCATGCTTCCTCTTGTTGCCACAGCAGCCATAAATGAATTCTTGATTTCATCTAGTCCCCTGGTATGCTTCACTGCAATTTTAGCGTCTTGGCACGGTGCACCTTAAAAAACGGAACCAAATCTTCCTTCCCCAAAAAGACAATGATAGTAGGCATTGTTTCTCATCAGTGTTGAATATATACTGTAAATTAGGTGTACCATTTCATCAATGTCCAATGCGTAATTCTAATTAATTGACCAAAGTTCATGTTATATTTTATATTGTAGTTTTTAATACACTCTAACATATTCATAGTATATGTTTAACAATTCTGTCAGTTTTGATTGGGATGAGATTCGAACATAAGGCTTCCCTTATGAAAATAAATGAGTAACATAAGAATAATAAATAGTTAACAAAAAGTTCCATTACTGAAGTTTACATAGATGGATTGCCGAGGGTAAGTAGGAAAAATAATAAAATAATAATAAAATAAAAATAATGTGAAGAATTAAATTCAAAAAACAATTACACCCACGTTTCTTAGTTCCCGTTAGGGCCTAACTTTATTGGCTCTTAGCTACATAAGAATAACTAGTAACAAGTTAAGATGGTCGAGTTGGTATAATGGGTGGCGAGAAGTCTAGAGGGGGGGGGGGGAGGGGGTGAATAGACTTCTCTAACTTTCAAACTTTTCTTAAGCACACCACACTTTGGTAACTTTAACTCTAAGTAACAAGCATAAACAAGTTAAACAACTTAGAGTGTGCACAACGGAATATGTAATGACAAAGTGTTATGCTTGATTGTGTAGTGCTCAAAGAGAGATTCTATACATACAACACGTTAGAAACACTTGATATAGATTAAAGATGATGTATGTAAAATTTCACTTGCATGCAAACGTGGGAACTATCAAACCCAGACTGATAAAGATATGTGATAAATCATAACGGGTTAGTTCACAGTTGATAATAGCATGCACGAAATATAATGAGCAGTAAGTAAAGAGAGCGAGAGATTTATAGTGGTTCGGAGATGGTGCTACTACTACTACTATCATCATTTAGGAACAAAGGACTCGCAGACTTCTTCTAACAAAGGACTCCACGAACGGGCCGGTCGGGGATAGCTGAGTATGATAGAACCGAGAGGGAGCTTCTGTCTTTACTAGAGCAGCAACACGTGTACTGGCGCCAGCGCGCGAAAGAGCATTGGTGGACGGAGGGGGATTTGAACAACAGGTATTTCCACAACTCTGTTAAAACAAGACGACGGCGTAATAGAATAATGAAACTAAAGAAGGATGACGGTACTTGGACTGATGGAGTGGATGAGGTGGGGGCTTTAATGGAAGATTATTATCAAAATCTTTTCACCGCGCAAGCAGGAGATGATAGTGAGGTCATTGCATGTGTGAGATCGCTGGTTTCGGTCTCAGATAATACTAAATTAGAACAACCTGTGAGTATGGAGGAGGTTCATCGAGCTGTGTCGGCAATGCATCCTGATAAATCACCTGGGCTTGATGGCTTTGGACCCGGGTTTTATCAGTTTTTCTGGGCAACGGTTGGAGGGGAGGTGACGAAATTTTGTAGACAGTTTATTGAGACAGCGGTGTTACCGACCAAGGCTAATGATACATTAATTGTGTTGATCCCGAAGAAGCCAGTGCCAGAGACTATGAAAGATTTGAGGCCCATTGCACTATGCAATGTCCTCTATAAAATAGCAGCTAAGGTTTGTGCGAACCGTTTGAAGCCTTTGCTTGATAGGTTGATCTCTGGGGCACAAAGTGTTTTTGTGCCTGGTCGGCTCATTACAGATAATATAATGTTGGCCTACGAGGCGCACCATTATTTAAAGAGGAAAACGCAGGGGAGGGTTGGGTTGGCAGCTTTGAAGGTCGATATGAGTAAAGCATATGACAGGGTGGAGTGGCGGTTTCTGAGGTCGGTAATGTTGAAGTTGGGTTTCAGTCAGAAGTGGGTTAATATTATAATGGAGACTGTGAGTTGCGTGAAATATCATATAATACATGAGCAACTTTGGTTGGGACCCATTGTGCCAGGGCGGGGACTGAGGCAGGGTGATCCGCTCTCGCCTTACTTGTTTCTTATGGTGGCTGAGGGATTAAGTGCTCTAATAGAGGATCGAACGAGAAAGGGGTTATTGCATGGGCTTTGTGTTGCGAGAAGAGCACCGCCAATATCTCATCTTTTATTCGCGGATGACTGCTTTCTCTTTATGCGAGCTACCACGAATGAAAGCAACCGAATGAGGGAGGTACTAAACTTATATACTCAGGCTTCTGGTCAATTAATAAATTATGATAAGTCAGTATTGTGTTTTAGTACAAATGTTGCGCAGAATGACAAGAACAATGTGATTGATATACTGGGGGTTGCGCAGGGTGATACAGCGGGCCGATATCTTGGGCTACCCTCGCTTGTTGGGCGAAATAAGAGGGCAATACTCGGTTTTTTAAAGGAGCGAATACTAGCTCGTGTAAGGAGTTGGAATTCCAAGTTTCTTTCAAGAGCTGGCCGGGAGGTGCTGCTGAAAAATGTGTTGCAGGCATTACCTTGTTATTCGATGATGGTCTTTAAGTTGCCTATCAGTTTATGTAAGGAGATTGAGGTGCTGCTGAATCATTATTGGTGGTCTGGGTCCGTAACAACCGCAGGAGGCATAAGGTGGAGATCTTGGCAGGCTTTGACTATGCCGAAGGCCAAGGGGGGTTTGGGGTTTAGGCGATTGCGCGAGACGAACTTGGCGTTGTTGGGTAAACAGGCCTAGCGCCTGCTAACACGGCGAGATTCTTTGGTTGCTCGAGTCTATAAGAACAGGTATTATCCTCACACAACTTTTTTTGATGCAGAGCCAGGGTCTAATCCATCATATGTATGGCGCAGAATTTTGGAGGCAAAGAATGTTATTCGTACGTGGGCACGGCGGAGCATTGGTGATGGCCGAAACACAATGATTGGGTCAGATCCTTGGCTTGTAACGGCTGAGGACCCTTATGTTCGAACTGTGATGGATCTTTCAATTATGAACGCACCTGTGAGTGCGCTGATGCAAGTAGATAGGCCTGGCTGGGATGTGGGTTGCATACGTGATGTGTTTGATGATAGAGATGCAGCCTGTGTTCTGAACATTCCAGTAAGTTGTCGTTTACCTAGTGATCAGTGGGTATGGAGTGGGGAGTCAAAAGGGCATTATTCTGTGAAATCTTGTTATCGAAAGCTAGTTGGTGAACTGGTGGTTAATAAACCATGGCACTTGATTTGGAAATTGCAGGTTCCTCTGAAGGTGCGTGTTTTTTGTTGGCAGCTTGCGTCGGCCATCTTGCCAACAAGGGATGCCCTGCTAACTAAGCGTGTGGCGTGTAATATTACTTGTCATATGTGCGGTACGGAAGAGGAGACAGCCATCCATCTTTTTCGTGACTGTGTTCAGGCGCAGGCAATCTGGGCAGCTGCGCAGTTGCCACCTTCTCCGCAGGATTATGGAAGCTGTGAGGAGTGGTTTTTTGAGAAGTTGGAGTTGTTGAAGGATGAGAAGCAAAGCAAGTTTGCCATGCTGACATGGGGAATTTGGAATTCCAGGAATGAAACGGTATGGAAGGGGACGACCTTTAATCGATCAGTTATGCAGCAGAAAACGATTGCTTATTGGGAGAATTGGCAACATGCAACCGCAAACCAGCTTCCCACTCTGGACGAATCCCATGCAGTGTGTAGATGGCAGTTACCACCGGTGGGGAGAATGAAACTGAACACGGATGCGACTTTTGATACAGTCCGAAATGTAATGGGCATTGGGTGGATTCTACGAAGTGATCAGGGTCAGTTTTTGGCTGCATGTGCTGTGCAACTACCTGGTCGTCACACGGTGGCTGAGGCGGAGGCTATGGCTATAAGAGAGGCGCTAAGTTGGTTAGGTGGTACGGGTATGGGGGAGGTGGAGGTTGAGACTGCTTCCCAATTGTGTTACCATGCTATTCTTTCTGATTCTTGTTTTTCTGCTTTTGGTTTCTTGATAGATGATGTTAAATATGCGGCCTCTTTGATAAATGGGGTGCGCTTTGGTTTTGTAAAGCGATCTGCGAACCGTGCGGCCAATGCATTAGCTAAGGCAGCCGTTTCCGATTTAGGTTGCGGTGAGTGGTTTGATGTGCCACCACCATATCTTGGTCAGATTCTTGCTACTGATTTAATGAATTAATTTGTTTCTTCCAAAAAAAAACCTTTTTTCCCCATACTACTTATCTTAATAGAATTTTCACCAATAATTATTAAAATTAAAAATGTTATACATTTTTGCCCTAATATTAATCAATATTATAATTTTCCTGCACCTTTATTTTTTAAAATTAAAAATGTAATCTATAATATAATTTTCCCCTAAAATTAGTGTTCATTAATAATAAATCAATATACTACAAATTAAATTTCATTCATCTACTATATTAATAAGAACTAGTTACACGATGCGCATTTTGCAAATTGTCCAATACCCAATGTGTATTTTTAAATTATCGTTTCATAATTTATTAAAATATCATTCGATATCCTTGCGTATATCAACGTAAGATTATCAAATTTTTCGAAAAAGTAAATTTTTCAATAATGCATAACTATGATGCATAATTTTTCATAAAATTAACTGGTGCAATTCAGTTTTAGAGGAAAAAACCCTCACTCGATAGTACAGAAGCATAATTTTTGCAACACAAAACCCTATTAATTGGCGTAATCCATCCTTCCTCTGGTTGCCACAACCGCCATAAATGAATTCTTAATTTCAACTAGTCCCCTGGTGTGCATCACTGCAATTTTAGCATCTTTGCAAGGTGCACCTCAAAAAACAGAACCAAATCCTCCTTCCCCAAAAAGACAATGATAATATGCATTGTTTATTATCTGTGTTGAATATATACTGTAAATTTGGTGTACCATTTCATCAATGTCTAATGCATAATTCTAATTAATTGACCAAAGTTCTTGTTATATTTTATATTGTATTTTTTAATTCACTCTAACATATTCATAGTATATGTTTAACAATTATTTCAATTTTGATTGGGATGGGTTTCGAACCTAAGACTTCCCTTATGAAAATCAATGAGTAACATAAGAAGTATAAATAGTTAACGGTAAATTCCTTTACTAAAGTTTAAATAGATGGAACGCAGAGGGTAAGTAGGGAAAAAAAGAAAAAATAATGTGAACCATTAATTTCAACAAACAATTACACCAACATTTTTAGTTCCCAATAGGGCCTAACTTTAATGGCTCTTAGCTACATATGAATAACTTGCAATGAGTTGAAATGGTTGAGTTGGTCTAAGGCGCTAGATTAAGGTTTTGGTCCGAAAGGACGTGGGTTCAAATCCCACTCTCTACAAAAAATTGTTTTTATTTTCAGCCTTTTAATATAATTACAATATGATATGATTTTGGGAAAATTGCACTTTTCATCCCTAAGTTATAGGGTAATTGTAGAATTCGTCCCTAGGTGTTAGTCATGCTCACTTTTTGTCCCTAAGTTATCATTGGCGTTGCACTTTTCGGCCCTGAGTTATAAGGTAATTGTAGGATTCGTCCCTAAGTGTTGGTCATGTTCACTTTCCGTCCCTAAGTTATCATTGACGTTGCACTTTTCGTCCCTGAGTTATACTAAAATTGCAAATTCCACCCATAATCACTACTACATAAATGGTATACTAAGTCAGCTTTTAAATAACCGTTGTCTAATATATTGTGTTATACACTTATACTACATCACTTAATAGATGACGGTTGTTTAAATAAATACCTATATAGTTGACATACACGACAGTTTTTTAACCACCGTATATAGTTAACATACACGACGATTTCCAAAACCGTCGTAGAAAGTGTATATTTACAACGGCAGTCACTTACACGCGCGACACTTCGAAAACTGTCGTGTATGTGTAAAAAAACCGCCGGTGGTTATTTAAAGTGTATGACGTAAAAAAAATTTAATTAAGTTATATACGACAGTTATTTAAAAACCCGTTGTCTATTAAATGACGTAGTATAACAAAATATATAAGACAGTGGTTATTTAAAAAACATCTGTCTATTAAGTGACGTGGTATACCATTTATGTAGTAGTGATTAGGGACGAAAATTGCAATTTTAGTAATTCTCAGGTACGAAATGTGCAACGCAAATGATAACTTAGGGACGCAAAGTGAGCATAAACAACACTCGGGGACAAATTCTACAATTACTCTATAACTCAGGGACGAAAAGTGCAACACCAATGATAACTTAGGGACGAAAATTGAGCATGACCAACACTCAGGGATGAATTCTATAAATTACCCTATAACTTAGGGACGAAAAATGCAATTTTCCCAATGATTTTTAAAACTTTTTTTCCCCATACAACTTATCTTAATAGAATTTTCACTTGTAATTTTTAAAATTAAAAATGTTATACATTTTTGCCCTAATATTAATCAATATTATAATTTTCCTGCACCTTTATTTTTTAAAATTAAAAATGTAATCTATAATTTAATTTTTCCCTGAAATTGGTGTTCATTAATAATAAATCAATATACTACAAATTAAATTCCATTCATCAACTATATTAATAAGAACTAGTTACCACACACGCATTGTGCGAATTGTCCAATGCCCAATGTGTATTTTTAAATTAGTGTTTCATAATTTATTAAAATATCATTCGGTATCCTTGCGTATATCAACGTAAGATTAGCAAATTTTTCAAAAAAAGTAAATATTTGAATAATGCATAACTATGATGCATAATTTTTCATAAAATTAACTGGTGCAATAGCAGTTTAAGAGGAAAAGACCCTCACTTGATAGTACAGAAGCATAATTTTTGCAACACAAAACCCTATTAATTTGCGTGATCCATGCTTCCTCTGGTTGACACGACCGCCATAAATGAATTCTTGATTTCATCTAGTCCCCTGGTGTGCATCACTGCAATTTTAGCGTCTTGGCACAGTGCACCTTAAAAAACAGGTCCAAATCCTCTTTCCCCAAAAAGACAATGCTAATAGGCATTTTTTATCATCTGTGTTGAATATATACTGTAAATTTGGTGTACCGTTTCATCAATGTCCAATGCGTAATTCTAATTAATTGACCAAAGTTCATGTTATATTTTATATTGTATTTTTTAATTCACTCTTACATATTCATAGTATATGTTTAACAATTATGTCAGTTTTGATTGGGATGGGATTCGAACCTAAGACTTCTCTTATGAAAATCAATGAGTAACATAAAACACTCCTCAAAGTCCGTAACAAGGTTCACCTTCAACACCCACTTAAAGAACACACCAAAAGATCATAAAGATTTCATCTTTAGGAAAAGATACCTTCGAAAGCACTAAAAACACAAAAGGAACATAGATCTTACCCTCCTAGATGCTCAAGAGTAGGAAAGGTGGAATCTTGGAGACAAACTTTGAAGATCTTAGAAAGCCTCAACTTAGCTTGGTAAAAAATGTAGCTAAATTTTAGAGAGAAGGAAGAGCTTGTGGTTTGAAAGTGTAAGGGAAAGAATGAAAGGTGTCTTCTAGGTTAGCTTTTAATACAAACATGAGGTGAAATGTCTTCATTACCCTTACTAAGATGAAGAAGTGTAAGGGAACAAGGGAACTATTCTCAAAGCTTTAGGCACAACACCTTGACTTGGGTTGACTAGTCAATTACTAGCCCCCAACTATTGACTTTTCAGAAATTTAAAGAATAATTCACCAATTAGATTAGGATTAATTACTTAATTAATCCCTAAATAGAATTTAGATTTAATTAATCCCTAAATAGAATTTAGATTTGCGGGGTGTCACACTGCCAACTTAACACTTGCGTTAGCACACAACCACAACTCACAGCAAGGAAACGCTTGAAAACTTCAAAGCTTTGGTTCGGATGAAAGGTCCAGAACAGGAATGGTAACAAAGGAGAAAGGTAACTCAGGGGAAAGAAGGCTTACAAGAAGAGATTCGGTTCAACGGAAAAGATTAGTGTAAAGGGTTTTAAGGTTTGAAAACTCGAAGATCACATTGGTTAAGAAGAGAATAAAGGTAAACAGGCTACAACTTAGGAAGTAAGGAATCAAAACGAGGTTTAAGGGAGTTGAAAAGGGTTTCCCCACGGAGGGTATCCGGTTTAAGCTCAAGGATAACATTGATTAGGAAGAGAATCAAGATTTTCAAGGTCACAACTTAAGAAAGCAAGGTTGTTACCTTGTACAGAATTTGTTTAAGAAGGGAAACAAGAACGAAGTTCGAAGAGATAGGAAGGATTTCTCGAGAAGGGGCAAGGGATTTGACGAGGGCAAGAGAGGAAGATTGGCTTCAAGAGGTGAAAGGGTTCTCGACTTCCGGCGAAGCTCCGGCTTGACGCTGATTACTACGCTTGTCGAACTGAAGGCTCTCTACCACGACTCAGACGCGGCTTAACCCTTAGACCTTGCTAGATTCTTCATAAGCTGAAGTCACCGCTGCCTTGCACAAGATGGTTTGGAAAGAAAAACAAGAACAAGGTTCGGAAGAAAAGGATCACTTAGATAAAGGGTGATTGGGTTTGTCTAAGGACAAGAAAAGATTACAGAGGGCCAAGGGTGACTCTCGAGCAAGCTAACGGCCGAAGCTAACACGCAAGGAAGGGCACAAAGACAAAGGAAGGTGCAACAAAAGGGTACAAGAACTTACTTCAACGGTTCCCACTTGCATCTGCCTCACGACTGTGGATCTTGCCTTGCCGAGATCCCGACTTCGTACACAGGTCCTGGATGCTACTTCCACTTAGTCCAATGTTGCTTCCACTTCGAGGCTTACTTCCCAACCGAGGTCTCACACTACCAACTGGTTTTGAGTCCGCTGAAGTCTTTCTCTTAGTCCTGCACTCAAAAGACCGGTGACCCTTCTTGCCACAAGCAAAGCACTCTACCGGCTTCCCAAGACAGTCCACGCCGGGGTGGTCACTTCCACACTTCTTGCAAACAGAGCGCCTTCCCTTAGCCTTGTTGTTCCGGATTGGCTGGGGAGCCTTACCTTTCCTAGAGTCGCCTCTTTGAAGACTTCTCGTTGATTCAGCACCAGTAGCCATCAAACTCCTGTAACACCTCCATTAAGCTTCCTCTTACGGTTCTCCCGGATTCCTTTCTGAACTTGCTGTACTCGGTAGGGGTCGACTGCACAAAGGTAGGCCTCCTTGACATGAGCAAGATAAAACCGCTCACGTAACTTAACCTTCAGGTTTTCCCAACTGAACTCCGGATCTTGTCCACGAGCTGGCCTTTCAAGCATCCACCACGAGTCCGCTTCTTGCCGAAGGTAGAACGTAGCCAACTCCACCTTACGATCCTTCGGGCACCCCACTACCTCGAAGATCTTATCAAACATCCGGATCCACTCATCCAGCGCTGTGGGATCTTCTTCACCGGCGAAGACCGGAGGACGGAGACTTGAAACATGGCGCACTACGTCACGATTCCCATTCTGAGGAGGGTGGTTGTTGTGGAGGAGGGCATTGCTCAGCGTCTGGGTGATCTGCGTCAGCTGATGGAGGCTTTGAGATAACTGTTCACCGGTGACTGCTTCTGAAGACCTTGCACGACGTCTCGAAGGTGCCATCCTTGACTTCTACAGAAACAGCACGATAACGGGAGGAAACTTAAGGCCTGCACCCTTACCTGGTGCCTTAACTAAAGAGAACCAAAGCTAAAAGGAAAACAAAGCACAGACAACACAATAGAAAACGGTAAAAGAACTCACAACCTCACCGCGCGTCCTATAAGTCCTAAGCCCTAAACACTTAGATACTTAAGGTCGCCTTAGGGTCTCAAACCACACTTAACTTCTTAAAAGTCCAGATTCTAACATCCTAGGCTCAAACCTAGGATCTGATACCAACTATAACACCCCCGATTTGCATTACATTTTAAAAGTTAAATACGTAAGGCAAAGCAACTAACAGGTATCACAAAACGTAAGCAACAGCGAAAGTCTTAGATTAAAACGGGGAAAACCAGGAAGTGTTATGCCACATCCACCTCAACGTGAATGCACATGCAAGTCTAAAACCAACAATTTATCTTGTTTAACATAACCATGGCACACAGGCCCAAAACACTATCTACAAAGGCAGGGGAGCTAAACTACAACCAACAGCTAACGCGCACGCCATATCTACTCAGGACCTGTAAAGCACATAAAGAAAGGGGACGACGCCCGGTCAGCGAATATTGCTGGTAACCCATCAATACGCGTTAAATAGCATATATAGATAGTATAATACAAAATCAATTTCGAAACAGAATACAATATATATCAGTTCAAAGTCAGGGAGAGAAGTCAACTGTAAAGACTCTATTTCACTCTCAAAGAACAAGGGAAATCAACATCCCAAGACAACTGTAACACCCCGTGTTACGACCCCTAAAATCAATTAAATCATTTAATCAATTACCCAAAAGAAAGAATTAAATCACAATAATTAATTAGGAAAGGCCCACCATAGTCCACGGGCTCTTATCCCTAAACCCAATCCTTAGTCCCAAAAGAAATAGAATTAGCAAGCCTATAATATTAGTTCCCAACTAGGACTCCTAAATATATAAATAGGGGACTTAAGAGGCACCTAGAACGCCCCACCACAATAAACGTTCCACCACCCCAAAGAGCTCCAAGAATTCCTTTAGAAGAAATCAAGAAAGCAAGAAAGCTTAAAGAAAGACCCTTCATAGCCAAGGAATTAGTTAAGGCTAAGAGGTAACCCATGTCTCAACAAAACCTATTTTCATAGCTATGATTTCCCCCGTAGGATTTCCCCATATTATTGTGTATTGATGATTTGTATTATTATTATTGATGATTAATGGGATAATTCCATGGGTGATCTTGATGACGAAAGGTTCTTGGTAATTATGGTGTTCTTGATGATTATATGACGTTCTTGACGATTATATGATGTTCTTAATGATTGTAGGATGTTCTTGATGTTTATGTGATATTCTTACCGAATCGTGATATTAAAAGATGAATTGTGTCCTTGTTAATTTAAAAACGGTTAGAACCCTAGGTTGTATCGTATGGTATTATTCTTGGTATATTGGGTGGGATTTCGCATGATTGGGTGTTTATTATGTTTAGAAAAGCATGATAGGTTATGTGTCGTTTGTTTCTTGATTTCGATCCGTTAATTGTCTACGTGTGTTATCAATTGCGTTTGAAAATGTCTAAGCATGGTTCCGGGTTCCATAAAGGTTCCCGGGGCGTTTTTGGTGAAAAGAGTCAGTGGGGGGTAGGTGGGGGTAGGGGACCCGCCACCTACCCGCGGCCAAAAGAGGAGCTCCGGCAGCGGGCAGCCGGCGGGCGGGCAGCTGCCCGCCGGGCACCCGCTGCCCGGAACAGTACATACCGGCGGGTGAACCCCCACCCACCGGCTACCCGCTGTAAATTCCCACCCTTCGGGACCCCGGCTTCCCCGTTTGATGTTCCCCCGACCCTCGTGGTGTCCTAACGGACTCCGTCTATCGTGCCTATGTCTAGTTTGATTTTCGGGTACCGTTCGTAGGTCGTATGAGTCTTATATATTGCATGCTAGTTGAATTGGTATCCCGTTGACCTAGGTGAAAGAAGTATGAACCCTTAGGACTATTCTTAGAATGTGAAGGATCACGGATAGGTTTTGTTATACGTTTTCTCCCCCTTCCCAATGTGTTAATGTGGGTTGCATGTGCTTGCTATGTGTTATGTGTGCATGTTACCCCGATTTGGTTGAGATCAATTGGGCTATACGGGCAGTCGGGTGGGCTGAGAACCATACCGGCTGTTAACCAGGCTGGTAGAGACCGGTCAGGTATATAAATATTATATAGGACTAAGATCCACTATACGGGCAGTTGAATGGGTTGAGAACCATTCCAACTGTTAACCAGGCTGGTAGAGACCGGTCAAGTATATAAATATGATATAGGACAAAGGTCCACTATACGGGCAGTTGAATGGGTTGAGAACCATCCCAACTGTTAACCAGGCTGGTAAAGACCGGTCAGGTATATAAATATTATATAGAGCTGCGGCTCATCGATCGGTTGCGATCGACCCCTCCGTGCTGTGAGACGGGGCAGGGTGCTGCGGGGCCGTGTCAGAGCTATATGCGCTGACCCTCATGTATGGGCATGCGATTGGTCCTGTGGCGCCAACAAAGTGTGCTATATGATGAGATAAGAAGGGTTGATGTTGTGACTGTTATAGGGCTCTTGCTAGTAATGCTTAGTTATGATTATTAATTGTGTTTGTCTTATCTGTCTTGCCTGTTGTGAACCGTATATGCTGGGTATAACTGCTGTCTGTGCTTAGCTCTATCTGTTGAGTCTATCCCTGTTTTAAAAGCTAGAGTT